CCTCTAAAAACAGCGTCATCCTGTGGGACCGGGACCTCTAAAACAGCGTCATCCTGGGAGCCAGGACCTCTAAAACAGCGTCATCCTGGGGGACCGGGACCTCTAAAACAGCGTCATCCTGGGGGACCGGGACCTCTAAAACAGCATCATCCTGGGGAGCCACCAGCTCTGGAAATTTTCATGCATTTGTTTGAAGATCCTGTGTGCTCCATAGGAAGTCAGACGTGCCACTTGCTACGCTCGTTCCCTGGTGAGGACGTGTCTTACCGTGTGGCGAGCTTGTGGCAGACGACCCCAGTGTCCGTGATGACCTCACTCAGCCGCAGCTCCAGGTGGACTTTGCCCTGCAAGGCACAGGTCGGGGTGTCAGGGGCTGTGCAGTCCAGGGAACGCCCAGAAGTGGCTCTGCGCTGCCCCTGCCGAGGGCACATCCAGCCCCTCTGCTCCACCCCCCGGGATGCAGTCTCCAGGCTGTGGCCTTCTTTCAGGAGAGCTGACTGCCTGACCACTCGGCCCTATGTGGCTGCCTGGGTTCCCGGCTCTAGGCTGAAAGCAGGCCACTGCCTCAGAACTGAGGGGTCCAACTGTGTGAGAGATGGTCATTCAGTGAAGCTGCCCAAACACACTGGCACTGCAGGCTGCTTCTGCATGTCTGTCGGGGCAAGGCAGAGGGAAGCACAGCCGTCTCCCGAGCAGGGGCCACCACCTGCCTTTACATTCCCTCTGCAAGGCTGATGGAGGCCCGCTGCAACCTCAGAGAGCTCACGCAGAGAGCAAGGCTCACGGGGGCTCCCAGCAGAGCAGACAGCAAGGCCACCCTGAGGGTCCTCCTGTCTGTCTCTATGTGCCACTGTATGTGCGGTTGTGTGTGCCCGTCTGTACGTGCCGCTGTAAGTGCATGCCTGTCTGTGTGTGCCACTGTGTGTGCCCGTCTATCTGTGTGTGCCTCTGTGTGTGCTGCTGTGTGTGCATGCCTGTGTGCATGTCTGTGCATCCCACTGTGTGTGTGTGTGCCCGTCTGTGTGTGCTGCTGTGTGTGCCTGTGTGTGCCAGTCTGTGTGTGCTGCTGTGTGTGCCTGTGTGTGCCACTGTGTGTGCCTGTTGGTGTGTGCCTGTGTGTGCTCATCTGTCTGTGCATGCAGCTGTGTGTCTGTCTGTACACGCCGCTGTGTGTGCCTGTCTATGTGGCTGGGTGTACCTGTCTGTGCATGCTGCTGTGTGTACCTGAGTATGCAGCTGTGTGCACCTGTCTGTGTATGTGGCTGTGTGTACCTATATGTGTGTGCCACTGTGTACCTGAGTGTGTGGCTGTGTGCGCCTGTCTGTGCATGCAGCTGTGTGTACCTGGGTGTGCTGCTGTGTGTGCCTGTCTGTGCAGTTGTGTGTACCTGTCTGTGCATGCCGCTGTGTGCACCTGAGTATGTGGCTGTGTGTGCCTGTCTGTATGTGCAGCTGTGTGTACCTGTCTGTGCGTGCTGCTGTGTGTATCTGTCTGTGTGTACCTGTCTGAGTGTGTGGCTCTGTGCATTTGTCTGTGTGTGCCGCTGTGCCTGCATTTGCTCCAGTCTGAATGGCACTGAATGGATGGGATAAACACAGACCCATCTATGCATCAGGACCTCTAGCAGGCTCAACCCTGAGCTTCTGCTCCTGAGGCTCCGGCAAGGCCAGGGCCTGTCCCCACCACAGTCCCCATGCCGGCATTTCACTCTGCTGCACAGTGCGTGAGCCCCAGGCATAAGGGCATCTGCAAAGTGTCCTGAGCGCCTGGGGGATGGATGACCCCAGTGTCTGCATGTGCGCCACTTGCTGTGGCCCTGCTGGGCTCCAGCTCTGCCTGCCCATCCGAAGCCACTTGTCAGGGAGCAGACATAATGCCCTCCGCACCTCCAGCCCTCACTGGACATGCGGTGGTGCAGCCCCACGGCACCCCACACTTGACCCAGTGTTTATAGGGAGTATGGAACAGGGTCTGTGGGGCCTCGGCTGCTGTCCTGAGACTCTAGGGCCCAGAGGTTGGGTGTGGCCTTCCCGCCCTGTGGCTCCAACCTCAGAGCAGGTCCTGACGGGCCACAAGGACATTGGGCCGAGAAGGTGGCCACCAATCCCACGCCAGCACTGTGGGCAGGAAAAGCTAGTGCCTAAAATGACAGCAAAGGCTCCGCCAAGACCACAGCTCCTCTTCCCGCGGTGGCCAGAGCTCAGAGCTGAGCAGTGTCGCGTGTGGTCCTCACACCTGCCAGAGGACCCTGCTCTCCATGGGCCACAGGAGTGCCCTTGACACCAAAGACAGGAGAAAGTGCCTGATACAAGAATAACCAAGATTTTCACTGCTTCGTTCCCATTCTCAAAGTAACACCAGGCGCCAACCCCTCCAGGCAGAAGTGTTCAGATTTGCTCTGTTCATGTTTAGGAGCTTCAGAATGAGTGACAACCGCATGGGGGCCGTGGCCCCCAGGAGCAGGCTGCAACCCACACCACCCCTCCGCCCCGTGCTCTCCCGGCTCCCGGTCAGGTCCTGAGGCTGCTCCTGTTCCTGCAGCGGGAATCCCTCCCAACTGGGCGACTGTGCTGCTTCCGTCTTCTGCTGATTCGGGAGTGGGAACAAACAATCCCACCCCTGGAAGGCCCTTTCTCCTTCCAGAAAAGCCAGTGCGTAAATCTACAGGTGCCAGTGCCGGCGGGCTGGACAATACCAGAACATTCAGAGGTTAAACAACACAATTCTAAATCACACGCAGATCAGAGAACACAAGACAAATTTTAAACCCTTCTGGAATAAACAGAAATAAAAGTGTTACTCGTCTAAATTTGTGGGATGCAGTAAGAGCCATGCTCAGGGTGGGGAGAAGCTGGAGTGCCAGCCGCGTAGACTAGAGCAGAAGAGAAATCCAAACACTGACCTGAGCTTAGGGCTGGGAGACTGAGAAAAAATGAGCAAACTAAACACAGAACCGAAGAACAGAAAGCAGCAGTCAGATCAGAAATCAACAGAGAAAAATCAAAGCCAAAGGCAAACTCCTTGAAAGATCAATAAAATTAATAAGCTTCTAACCAGGCTACCAAGAGCAAAAGAGAAAAGTCACAAATTCCCACAGGAAACGAACAAGAGGACCTGGCTGTCGATCCAGCATCAGCCTAGACACTACACTGGGTCCCAGGCACCGCACTCCGGCCAACCCACAGACATGGCAAAAGGCCCAGCATCCACCATGGCTGAGCTCCCAACAATGCTCCTGAGAACCCACAGATGTGGCACAGGGGCTAGTGTCTACCGTGGCTGGGCTTCCAACAATGCTCCTGAGAACCCACAGACGTGGCAAAGGGCCCCAATGTCCACCGTGGCTGAGCTCCTAACAACGCTCCTACTGACCCACAGATGTGGCAAAGGGCCTACTGTCCACTGTGGCTGAGCTCCCGACAATGCTCCTGAGAACTCACAGATGTGGCAAAGTGCCCCAGTGTCCACCATGGCTGGGCTTCCAACAATGCTCCTGAGAACCCACAGATGTGGCACAGGGGCTAGTGTACACCGTGGCTGAGCTCCCGACAATGCTCCTGAGAACTCACAGATGTGGCAAAGTGCCCCAGTGTCCACCATGGCTAGGCTTCCAACAATGCTCCTGAGAACCAACAAATGTGGCACAGGGGCTAGCGTCCACCATGGCTGAGCTCCCGACAATGCTCCAGCTAACCTACAGACGTGGCAAAGGGTCCAGCGTCCACGATGGCTGAGCTCCCGACAATGCTCCTGTGAACCCACAGATACAGCAAAGGGCCCAGCGTCCACGTGGCTGAGCTCCCAACACTCCTGAGAACCCACAGATGTGGCAAAGGGCCCAGCGTCCACAGTGTCTAAACTCCCGACAATGCTCCTGAGAACCCACAGACGTGGTAAAGGGTCCCAGCATCCACCGTGGCTGAGCTCCCAACAACACTCCTGAGAACCCACAGACGTGGTAAAAGGTCCCAGCATCCACCATGGCTAAACTCCTGACAATGCTCCTGAGAACCCACAGACGTGGCAAAGGGCCCAGCGTCCACCGTGGCTGACCTCCCAACCATGCTCCTGAGAACCCACAGACGTGGCAAAGGGCCCAGCGTCCAGCATGGCTGAGCTCCCAACAATGCTCCTGAGAACCACAGACGTGGCAAAGGGCCCAGCGTCCACCATGGCTGAGCTCCTGACAACGCTCCTGTGATCCCAGAGATGTGGTAAAGGGCTCCAGCGTCCACTGTGGCTGAGCTCCCGACAATGCTCCTGAGAACCCACAGACGTGGCAAAGGGCCCAGCATCCACCACGGCTGAGCTACCAACAATGCTCCTACCAACCCACAGACGTGGCAAAGGGCCCCAGCGTCCCCTGTGGCTGAGCTCCTGACAACGCTCCTGTGATCCCACAGATGTGGTAAAGGGCTCCAGCGTCCACTGTGGCTGAGCTCCTGACAATGCTCCTGTGATCCCACAGATGTGGTAAAGGGCCCCAGTGTCCACTGTGGCTGAGTCCTGACAACGCATGGCTGCAGCATCACCAGGTGTCAGCCCTGGGGCCTGGGTGGGTGCTGCCGAGGGGTGTATGGAAACTCTGTACTATGCTCAATTTCCCTGTGAACATAGAACTGCCCCCCAAATAGAGTTTATTATTTTTTAAAAAGCAGCCAGTGGTCCCCATCCATCTTTCTCAGGAAGGCCTTCCCTAGGGAGAGAGTGGCACATGGAACCAGGTCAGGGTCCCAGCCCCACCCACCAGCTACTGTGTCCCCAGCTGAGCCGGCAGCGCCCAGAAAGCAGCCAGGACAGAGGTGCCTCGGAGGCAGGGGCTGCTCCACGCTGCAGAGAGGAGACAAAGTCAGCGGGCAGAAGAGAGGGGGATGTGGAGGCCACGGGGAAGGAAGCCCAGCCTCAGCCCTCTCCTCCTGCAACCCTGGAACGATGTAAAAGCTGGGCCCTTGACTACACACGGTGGCTTTGTTTGCTCAGAAAATCCTTCCAAGAAGATTGTCTGCTGTACAAACATAAAATTCTCAGAGACTGAGAGGGAGGCTGGAATTTCTACCCCAGTCGTTGATTTTGCGGTGCAACTGGATGGCTCCAAAGAGGAAACAGGCAGGTGTCTCTCAGGAGGAAACAGGCAGTGTCTCTTGGGTGGACAGGATGGCGGGCCTGGGGTTTGCTGTGATCTCAGATGGGATGGTGGGCCTGGGGTTTGCTGTGACCTTGGAAGGGAGGGTGGGCTCAGGGTTTGTTGTGATCTCTGGCAGATGCTGGGCCCAGGGTTTGCTGTGATCTCAGATGGGACGGCAGGCCCAGGGGTTGCTGTGATCTTGGACAGGATATTGGGCTTGGGGGCCGCTGTGATCTCCAGCGGATGGTGGGCTCAGGGTTTGCTGTGATCTCTTGCAGGGCTGTGCTATTTTCTGGATATGTCACAGATGCACTTTGATACCCGGTTTATTAACAGAGCTCAGTGACCCTCAGGTGCCCGGATCACCATGGATCCCCTGCTGCACAGGTGGTGCCCCTGCTGGCATCTCACGCTGACATCTTCCTGCTTAGGGAAGGGTCAGAGAGGATAACTGCATAATAAAGTGATTTAACAGATCTTCCAACCGCATCCCTTTCAGAAGGAGGCAAGAAAGGTTTAATTGTGTTTTCCCCATTTCTGTGACTCGCTGGTCTTGCCCATGGGCTGGTTCTGAGTCACTCGCTGTTTGATAGAGGACTTTTCCTGGGAGTTATAGAGCGGAAAGACTCAAAGAGCCACATGGCCACTCCCTGCCTTCCTGAAAACAGTCACTGTGACATCTCACAATGAAACGGCAGCTTCTGAGATTGGAATTGCGGTTTTGTCACTGTTGTTGTTGTTTTGAGATGGAGTTTCACTCTTGCTGCCCAGGCTGGAGTGAAATGGCACGATCTTGGCTCACCACAACGCCTGCCTTCCGGGTTCAAGCAATTCTCCTGCCTCAGCCTCTGGAGTAGCTGAGATTACAGGCACACACCACCATGCCTGGCTAATTTTGTATTTTTTCAGGGTTTCTCCATGTTGGCTAGGCTGGTCTCAAACTCCCAATCTCAGGCAATCATCTGCCCACCTTGGCCTCCCAAAGTGTTGGGATTATAGGCATGAGCCACCACGCCCAGCCTGGAGTTGCAGTTTTAAAGGTTGGGTGGAGGCCAGTGGGACTGCTGCTCCCTGTCCAGCCACGTTTAGGGTAGCCTCGGGGCTGACTCCATCAGTGAAATGCTCAGGCAGGCAGCACCTGCCTGGGACCAATGGGCATCAGAGAGCACTGACTCTGCCTCCTCCCGACTCCACCTCCTCCCCTGACTCCGCCTCTTTCCCTTTAGACAACAGCTTGCACTGGCCTTCCATAAAGTGCAAATTCCCGGGAGACGACACCACTGGGTTCAGGATCCTCACGTTCTGGATAGTGAGAGGCAGGCTTGAAGGATGCCAGGCTTGGCCACAGGCACGTGAGCTGTCTTGGGCGTTAATTATGAGATTCCATCAGTTGTGAGATCAACCTGCCACGTTCTTATTTACAGTGTTGTGGAGATGAAACGTCTGAATGCTGATCGTGATAGTGGTTACACAATCTACCCTGTGATGAAGTTGCAATGACTATCACGGCAGCCAAAGGCAGAAGCCCCTCGTGTCCGTGGACAGGTGGCTGGATCGACAGCACGTGCTATGCACCACAGGTCATTCCTCAGCCTCGAAGGAAGGAGGTTCCGAGACCACACAGGCAACCAGGAAGATGTCATCCAGCCTCAAAAAGACCAGCAGGGCAGAGCTCACTCCAATCAGCACAAGGAGTGGCCAGCGTCCGAGACAGGGTGCGATGGGGCTACCGGGCTGCGAGAGGGGGACGGGGGCGTGTGAATAAATCTCTAGCCAGGGGACAGAGGGAACAGAGGATCAGTTTTGCAAGATCAAAGGAGTTCTGGAGGTGAGGCGTGGTGGTGGTTGCACAATATTATCAATATACTTAATACTATGCTGCTGAATTGGACATTAAATGGTTAAAATGGTAAATTTCGTGATGTCTACATTTTAGCCCATAAAAAACTGGAAAAAACAGCAGAGACTATACACACAGAGACACACACAGAGGAACATGTGCCTGTGAGCAGATGAAATCTGAATAACGTCCGTGGACTGCACACGTGTCCACGTCCTGGCTGATGTTGTGCTGGCTACGTACAGTGGTGCCGGGAAGCAGGAGAAGGGAGCACAGCCTTCGTTTTCAGTGCAGGGAGGAGATCTCCCCTCGCCACTCCTGTGTACTGTTTTTGCGCCTTCCTACAAATCCATAACCATTTCAAAATTAAATCAGTTAAAAAAAAAGCAAGAAAGAGGAAAAGCTAAAGCTGCCAATAAAAACAAACTCACAAAACCAAACTTGAATCCGAGGAAAAGGACAAGGCCACGCTCTGCCTGCTGCTCAGAGGCCTCATGACAGAGACCCCAGAATAGAAGTGGCAGGGACCTCACTGAAGTGCAAGCAGGAGCAGCCCAGTCATCAAGCCCTGTCTCCTGGGCAGCGTGTGGGAAACCCGCCTTTCTGCTGGGACGCTGAGGTCCACTGAGCAGGGCGCTGGGGCCCTTGTGCTCCAAGGCTACAAGGACAGTCGCTAGTTCTGCCAGTAATCACAGTCCTTCGCTTTCCACAGCACCTGTGGCTCCCCAGCCAGCGCTCTCCCGGGAAGCAGAGTTAATTAACTGTGGAGCACAATTAGGACACAGTCCCTTGGGGCAAGGCCATCCCTGGGGCCTCTCGGTTCCACTCCCTCATTTCCATCAAGGGCCTCACCCCGTCCCCTGGCTGGGCTCCCGGTCAACCTTATGAATGAACCCTTTGCTGGCCATGGGAGTGGGCACAGCCTGTGACCTTAGTGGATGATAATCTTATCCCAGTGAAGCACAGAGAACCAGGGTTCCCAGAGGACACCAGGCTATCCAGACCTCCGGCCCAAATCTGCCCTGGACCTGCAGGCATGGAGCCCCCCTCCGACCCACAGAGTTGCCTCTGCTGAAGTCTCAGGCAAAGTTCTCATGAGGAATCTATTTTGGGGATTTGTCCAGGACACCAGCCTCCAGGTGTGAAAATGACAGTCACCACTACTGCTCCACAATGCAGCAGGCACCATCGAGGAGCACATGCATCATTCCCGCATGCTGCACAAAACCCACTTCACAGATGGGGAAACTGAGGCCTGCAGAGGATGTCGGCAGCAAACAGATGAGGGAGCTGGCCCTGAGCCTGCTGCCTGTGTTGGGACCCTACACTTAGACACTCACTGTGGTCCCAGCTGAGGACCCACCCAGGAAACCCTCCACATCCCAGGTCACACCGCCATGCTGCTTGCTCGTGGCCTTTGCAGCTGCTCTGTATCACGGACCAGGGCTCAGAGTGACCCCACAGGAGCTGGTGTAGGCTTGGGCTCAGACAGGCTGACCCCCACTGCTCTCTCTTACAGGCAAGCGTGGAGCTGCCACAGCTGGGCACAGTGCATCCCCGAGCAGCCATGAACACAGGGGTCTGGGACACCAGCCCCAGCACCGGAGCCCCTAGTCTTGCATGGGGAGGTGGGGCAAGCTCCTCCCGCTGCATGGGGCAGGGCCAGCCCCAGTGGGCACATGACCCCGGAAAGCCAGGGTGAGCCCCGGCTGCTTCCAACAATGGACACTTGGGAAACCAGCGTGCTCTTTCAGCTCAGACCCCTCTTGGTGCCGAGTGCTGGGGTGCAGCCCACCCAGCGAGCCGTGGGGAAGCGGAGGTCTCAGTGGGCTGACGCTGGCTTGGCCCTTCCTCACCTGTGTTTTCTCTTCGCCCTCAGTTATGCGTTCCTGTCCTTTCCCACTGTGTGTGGAAAGGCATGTGTATGCACCTGTATGAGCTACAGCTTGGAACACACGTGTACCTACATGTTACGGCTGCCTCGACTGTGCACGATGAAGGGTAGCAGCAGCCAAAGGGGAATCCACGAGCCGAGCCCGTGCGTACTCTGAGCACACACTGGCCAACACACACAGCGTTCTTGGTGTTACTGCCTGTTAAGGCCACAGCCCGTATCCACGTCTGCAACCACAGGTGGGGCTGACCCAGGCGGCACTGAGGGTCTCACCTGCACTTCTGAGTCGGCGTCCACGTGCTGCAGCTGGAACCAGGTGTCCCTGTTGTGATACTTCTGCAAGTCCTCCTTCTGAATGGCCACCTTCCCTGAAACACAAGCAGGGCATAGCCTTCACCGCGGGAACAGGCCCCAGGACCAGGGTGCCTGTGAGCAGAGGTCAGTCCGTCATCACTGTAGCTTATTTCCCACAGTTTCATTCAGAATGGGACACCAGCCTGACATGGGGCTCACACCTGTAATCCCCACACTCGGGGGGCCCAGGCTGGAGGGTCACTCGAGACCAGCCTGGGCAATATGGCAAAGCCTCATCTCTACAAAAAAATTTAAAAACAAAAGAATTAGCCAGGCATGGTGGCACTGTGTCTCTAAAAATTAATATTAAAAAATCAAAACTAAATCATCAAAACGCTCAGGTGAAGGGGTAAGTCTACACTGTCTCCCTTCAAGTAAGGCATTCAGGAGGCTTTGCAGTGAAGGCACGAACGTCACGCTCCATCAGCAATGTGCACCTCACTTTCACCGTGGTCCACAGCCAGTTCTCATGGGGAGAGGCACATCAGAGCTGGTTGGGTGCGGAAGAGCCCCGTTCTCACAAATCAACATCTCATGTCTCACACACCACCAAGGCAGTGGCATCGCATCATGAGAGAGACTATGAGCTACAGCTTGGAGCACACGTGTGCCTACATTTTGCTAACAGTGTGTGTGGACAGGCACGTGTGTGCAGCTGTACGAGCTACAGCCTGGAACACATGTGTGTCTACATTTAGCTTAGTGTGTGTGGACAGGCATGTGTGTGCACCTGTATGAGCTATAGCTTGGAACACGTGTGCCTACATTTAGTTTACAGTGTGTGTGGACAGGCATGGGTGTGTGCAGCTGTATGAACTACAGCTTGGACACAAGTGTCTACATTTAGCTTACAGTGTGGGTGGACAGGCGTGTGTGTGCAGCTGTATGAGCTACAGCTTGGACACACATGTGTCTACATTTAGCTTACAGTGTGGGTGGACAGGCGTGTGTGTGCAGCTGTATGAGCTACAGCTTGGACACACATGTGTCTACATTTAGTTTACAGCGTGTGTGGACAGGCGTGTGGGTACACCTGTACGAACTACAGCTTGGAACACATATGTGTCTACATTTAGCTTACTGTGTGTGTATGCACACGTGTGTGTGTACATGTACACACTACAGCTTGGAACACGTGTGCCTACATTTATATTACAGTGCGTGTGGACAGGCATGTGTGTGCACCTGTACGAGCTAAAGCTTGGAACACACGCGTGTCTATGTTTAGCTTACAGTCTGTGTGGACAGGCATGTGTGTGCACCCATATGAATTGAATCCAAGCCTCTAAAGTGTGATCCATAAGCTGTCCACTGGGACCCCTGGAAAGCCTGGAAGTGCAGATTCCTGGCTGTCCCCAGACAGAGGAGGACAGGCGCCCTGGTGTGGGCCGGAATCGGCACCATCACAGGCCCAAGGGCACATGTGGGGCCCCAAAGTCTGGTGATGTCCACTCTAAACAGTTTCCTGTACCTTAAACAGGCTTGGTACTTTGGGGTAGACTTTCAATGAAAATACATATCAGGATATATTTGTATGATATCGTTTACGTAGCATGGATTTATATGTGTAAATACACATCTGTAACCATCATTACCTGCTTATATATTCACCTCATTCCGGAACCATACTCATGGGGGGGCAAATGCGTCCCCCTCCCATCCCGGGCAGGACAGGGCTTGTCAGGCGCTGGCCACTCAGCTGTCTTCCATCCAGCATCCCCTCAAGGCCCCACCATGCCATGCCTCCCACTGACCTCCGTGCATCGTGGACTGCGCCACCCACGCGGTGAACACCCACACAGCACGGGAACCTCTGCTGACAGATGCATGCAAACTCCCAGGGAGTCACGCGCGCAGGATGTCCAAGCTCCTGTGGAGCGCGTGCGAGGGCAGAGTGAGGAAGGAAACGGTGGTGACTCCTTACATTTTTGTTCTGCACCCCACAGACACAACGCCCTGCTAAGGATCCTGGCCCAGCCACCAAAGCGAGAAGCTCTGGGTCCCCGCAGACCCCGGTTCCACCGCAGCATCCATGGCTGCAGGGTCTGAACATGCCAAGCATGGCCGGGGCTCCCGGGAGCGGCCTGGGCCTCTGGCTGGCCACCCTGCCTCACACCAGGACAGCGCAGCCCAGCCCCAGTTCTCTCCTCCAAGGAAGATTGTTTTATATTTCCGTGTCTCAGAAAACCTCCACAGGAACCCCTCTGAACAACCCAGCCTGGCATCTGGCAGCCTCATGCTTTGGCTTGTCCCTCTGTCAAGCCTCAGTAAATTTGGGAACACTCCACTACCCGCCTCTCACAGGCTCTATCTCAGTCGGTCCAGTGGCAACCCTGGAGGTACAGGTCCCACTCTGCACACCCCACAGATGAGCCGGCCGGGCCTGCAGAGAGAGGGGGCTCCATCGCCACTGTCCTTCTAGTGCTCCTTCTTCCGTGAGGCCCCACCCTGCGAGGCCCCTGGGATGCATTTTCCCTCAGGAGCTCCTCTGCCCCGCAGGCTCACACACCTGAGACCTCCCAGCCCGACCCATCTGCTCCCTGATGGGTCTCAGAGCCCGTAAGCCTCGGCCGCCAGACCACTCCCTTGTTTGCGGACGTGGTGGGCCTGAGATGCACCCAGCTCAGCACCAGCTCCAGCCCCTGTGAGACAGCACAGGGTCAGCCACATGATGGGAGCACACAAGGCCACAGGACGTGGTGGGAGTGCAGAAGGTGGACATAGGCATGAAGATGCTTTCCAAGTACCCAAAGGACAGACGCAGAATCAGGGCAACCTGCCTCCAGGTGCTGCAAGCGCCTGCCAGCACCTTCATTTCATGCTCTCAGGGTAATGGCTGCACCTCACACGGCCCACCCTGAAAAGAAGCCCTGGGGACGGCCCCCGGAAGAAGCCCCTTCCCAGCCACCAACAGCTCCAGGACCCCACTCACAGTCAGAGCTGGACCCCCTTCCCAGCCAACAACAGCTCCGGGACCCCACTCAGCCAGGGCGGGACCCCATTCCCAGGCAACAACAGCTCCGGGACCCCACTCACAGTCAGGGCCGGACCCCCTTCCCAGGCAACAACAGCTCCGGGACCCCACTCACAGCCAAGGCGGGACCCCCTCCCCAGCCAACAACAGCTCCGGGACCCCACTCACAGCCAAGGCGGGATCCCCTTCCCAGCCAACAACAGCTCCGGGACCCCACTCACAGCCAGGGCGGGACCCCCTTCCCAGGCAACAACAGCTCCAGGACCCCCACTCACAGTCACGGCAGGAGCCCCTTCCCAGCCACCAACAGCTCCAGGATCCCACTCACAGCCAGGGCGGGAGCCCCTTCCCAGCCAACAACAGCTCCGGGACTCCATTCACAGCCAGGGCGGGACCCCCTTCCCAGCCAACAACAGCTGTAGGACCCCACTCACAGCCAGGACCGGAGCCCCTTCCCAGCCAATGGAAGCTCCAGGACCCACTGCTCACAGTCAGGACCAGCCAGTTCCACAACCACCCGGATGTGGACGCAGCACACAGGCACTCACAGGTTTGCAGGATTGGCCGGTGATCTTGTTGGCACAGCTCTTGCCACGCAGACATGCACAGACCATCTAGAGCTTCATGGGACACTGAAACCACTGAGGACAGGCGACAGCCAAGGCAAGAACGATTGGGGGGGGCAGGTGCAGAAAACGGGCTTTGGCACATGCGGGAGAAGAGCGCCAGGGAAGCTCAGAGAGACCCAATGACACAGCACATGGATTCCCTCCAGTGGCACAGACCACAAGGATGGATGCCAGCCAGGACTCGGCTCCGCCCTAACATCTGGACCCCTGCGCCCCCCCACCCTCCCACCACTGCCCCTGGGAGGACGCCTGTGACTTCTTTACCCCCTGCCTGGCCCAATGCACCCCCCGCCCTCCCACTGCCAGCCCTTGGCAGGTGCCTTGACTTCTCTGCCCCTCCTTGCTCACTGTGTCCCTCGCCCTCCCACCAGCAGGCCTGGGCGGGTGGCCTTGACTTCAAGGGCCCTGAGTGGGGGCTCTGTCCCTCTTCTGACGTCGGCTGCATGGCTCTTGTGAAACCTCCCCTTTCCCCCACAACGTGAATATCGGTTTTCAGTCTCATGGGAAAAAAAAGCCACATGAAAGCAAAAACTTCTTAAAACGGAGTTAGGCAACATATTTCAGTGAAAGGGATAAAGAAACCTTCAGACCCAAGCTCCTTCTGCTGGACAGTCTGAAGTTTTAAATACTTGCAATGTCATTGTGTCTTCACATTTTTATGAGCTGCAACTGGGGCAGAAAGAAGTCACATATTTAATGTTGGTAAGAATCTTGTAACTCGCATGATTACAAGGCTTTTATTTTTGGAAGTACTTCACTTAATTTTTTAATAGGTAACACAGAAGGAGAACAAAATCCACGACATTCAAAAGGACTTAAAATCCCTTCGAGAAGGAATCCCTGCCCTGCCACCTCACTCCCGACATGGGGTCACCACTGTCACCAGCCCCCAACCTCTCCTTCTAGAGTTGGCCACATTCAACAACGAAGCCACATGGACATTTTAAGCATGTCTGTGTCTCTGGACACTGCCCTGAGAGAAGGCTGGATCTAGAAGCCACAGCACCTATTTAAATGTTTTTGATGTACCTAATCCACAAGGTTGTCCTGATCTATTTGAGTCACACCAAAAAGTTTGCTGAACACTCTGGGCCTCCCCTCTCACTTGGGCAAAGGTGGTGGTCTTCTACCATGAGATGCCGGAGGGTCACTTTCTTTTGCTCCATCTGTGCTGGCCAGGCCCATTCAGAAAGGAGGAGCCAGTGGTCTGAAGGGCACGAGACAGGGGGCCAGATGCAGAGGGACCAGAGTAAAAAGCAGCCACAGGACACAACCATGCAAGAGCCACCCGAGACAGGGAATGTAGCCAAGACGCACACATCACACTCTGACCCCACCTGTGTCCCAGCCAGGGCCACGAGGCAAAAAACAAAGGCCATACAGATTCCAAAAACAGAAATAAAATTCTTTATTCATAGAATGTACAAAAAAAAAAAACCTACAAGCAAAGTTAATACACCTAATTAGTGTGTTTAGCAAGAACTGAGAATACAAAGTCAATATGCAGATATCAACTGCGTTTGCACATACAAGCAATGTCATGAAGATTAAACAGAATGAGCAACACTCACAAAATTACACTTTTGTGGCTGGTACTTTTGATGGACCACCTAAGAAATCTTTGACCGCTCCGCTAAACACATAAAACATAGAGAAATAAATGTTTTTAAATGTGAAAATGTGTAGGCTGAAAAACACAAAACACTGATGAGAGAAATGTAAAAGACCTAAGCACACAGAAAGATATACCATGTCCATGGATTTGAAGACTCAATTTTGTTAAGATGGCAGTTCTCCCCAAATTAATCTACAGATCAATGTAATCTCAATCAAGATTCCTGAGGGACTATTTTGGAAATGGAGAAGCTCATTCAAAAATGCATATGGCAATTCAAAGGGTCTAGAATAGCAAAACAAGTTTAAACAAAAACAAATTTGATGATCTCACACTACAACGTAAGACCTGCTATGAAGCTACGGTGATCAAAACTACGTGGTACTGACACAAGGACAGGTGGGTCACTATGACGCAGGGCAGGCGAGCTCCAAACTGGGGCTTAGACTCAGAGGATCTGTAGCTTCACCAGGAAAGAATTCAAGAACTAGCTGGTGGTGGAAGAAAACGGTTCTATGGAGGTGGCAGTGTGACAGCTTGGAAACCACTCCTGCAGAGCAGAGCCCCCCACAGGCGGTGAGTTGAGAGTGACAGCTCCAGGCAGTCCTGCAGTTATATGTATGCCCACTTTTAACTATATGTCAATCAAGGGACAGATTATGAAGAAACTTCTGGAGAAACAGTGGTAACTTCTGAGACACTGGGTTGTTCCTAAGGAAAAGGGTGGTAAACTCCAGGCATTGCCATGGCAATGGTAAGCTGACATGGCACACTGGTGGGCATGTCTGATGGAAAGCTGCTTCCACCCATCCCTGTCTTAGCTAGTCCTCAATTTGGTCCGGTGTCAGAGCCCCGCCTCCTACCTCACACGGAACAGAATGTTGAAGCCAGAAACAGCACACACAGTGCAGACAACTAAGCTGTAAATGTACCAAAGTCACCAACAGAGGAAGAGTTGTCTTTCAACCAAGAGTGCTGGAACAAACAGACATCTACATGGAAAAAACTGAACCCCAATCCTTTTTTTTTTGCGCCATAAGTGAAAATTAGCTTGAAATAGATTATGGAACTAAACGTAAAAGCTAAAAGCACATGCTTTCCAGGAGAAAACTGCCACAACCGTGGGACAGGCAAGACTTTCTTAGATACGACACACAGGTACAAATCATATAAGAAAAAATATGATAAACTAGACCATCAAAATTAAAAGCTTCAGCTCTTCAAATGGCAAGAAAATGAAATACAAGCCACAGACTGGAAGAAAATGTTTGCAAAACACACTTGTGATGCACTTGTATCAAGAATATAGAGAACTTTACAAACTCAGTAACAAGAAGACAACCCAATTAAAAGGGCAAAAGATTTGAACAATTTACCAAAGAAGGGATAGAGCAGTCAATGAGCCCATGAAAAGGTTCTCAACGTCACTCTTCACAGACATGCGATAAAACCACAGTGAGACAGTGCACACCTATGGGAGTGGAAACATTAACCGGAGAATAAAAACTCACAAACCTAAGGGCTGGGCAGGATGCGAAACACCTTGTGCTGAGAACGCGGAGTGCGCGGAGTGGGGTGGCCATCTGGGGACACAGTTGGGTAGTTTCCAGTCACAGTAAACACACTGTACAGTGGGCCCAGCAACGTCACTCCCAGGTATTTACCCCAGAGTAAGAAGCAGAAACAGGTGTCCACACAAAGACCGATAAATGTTTGCAGCGGCTTTGTTCATAATTGCTGAGGATCAGACACCATCTAGTGAGCGACGAGGCCACTGAGGTGCATCTGTATGATGGAAACCCATGGGCAGCAGGAGGGGCGACCTGGCTCACAGCTGCACGGCGCGGGGCCAGTGCGGTGGCAGAGGGCGGCCCCTCCAAGGATTGACTCATGTGGCCTCCTGGGAAAGGCAAAACTGTGCAAACAGGCTCCAGAGCTGTGGCTGCCAGGCGCTGTGGGTCAGGGTAGAAATCCACCCCCAAGGGGCCCAAAGGAGCATTCTGGGCTGTGGGAATGCACCTTAGCTGTGGTGCTGTCTACACAGCTGTGTAAACTGGTGAGGCTACACTTAAACAGGTGAATTTACCACATGTCAACTGTAGACCACCTGATTTATACATAACGAATGCAGGTCTCACTGCACCCCACCCCACTGGAAAACCTCAGTGTCCAGAGGCTAGAGGGGCAAACGAAGGAGGATGCAGTGCTACCAGAGCTGGGGCCCAGAGGAAGGTGGAGGCCTAGCAGGAAGAGGAGGGAGGCACCAGGATGGGGGTGGGAGACCCTAGCGCTCCTCACTGACAGGACCAAGCTGGCCCTGGCTTGCTTCCCCGTTTCATGCACCCGAGCTGCCAGGAGCCACAGTTTCTGGTCCCCACTCCATGGGTGCAGGTCCAGCCAACGGAAAGAAACCATGCAGGAGTGCTGGCAGCAGAGTCCAGGCAGAGGTCACCTTCCTGCACCTGGAAACCTGAAGGCGCCTGCACCCTGCGTGTCCTGCAGGCCACGGTGCTGCAGCTGGAGCCCAGCTTCACTGACAGCTCCCTCTGGCAGCAGCACTCTGTGGGCCACAGGACCCGGGGACAGAGGAGGCCAATGGTCACGCCGCCCGACGCCTGCCTACGCTGGACATTTCTTCCTTCCACTCCTGCTCCAAACCTTCCAAACCTGGGAGGTTTCTGACCCACAGTGGTGGAGACCTGACTACAGCTAGTGTTGGCTGGGGAGGGCTGAGGTCAGGGATTTGTTTCCCCAAGTCTCACTCGCTGGGACACTGAATCCCGGCACGGCTTCAGCTGGCTTTCTCGGTTTCAGTCGCTACCCACCCTCCCTTCAGGCTGAAGATGTGCTCCCGACCCCAACCCATGCCCCAGCCCCATAGGAATGTGCCCCTACTTCTTTCTGGCACCTGTCAGTGCTCCCCTCGCTCCTGCACCTGAGCTTGTAACTGAGCACAGCCGTGGCTGCCCCAAGGAAAGCTTGCTAGCAGATGGGGTTTCCTCAGGGCATGGGCGGCTGCTGTGAACAAGGGAACCAGCAGAACCATGCAGCCAGGAAGCCAGTGGCAACTGTGCACTTTCACCCAGAAACTCATTCCCCAGAGCCTGGTGTTTCATTCCTGGTAATAACGTAATTACCAGTCATAACGATAAATCATTACCAGAGAGCCAGACAGCTCCCCATTTTCATGGCTGTAAAAGCCACAGTGAAACATCTAAGTCTAGGTGCCATCATTGGAAAGCCTCCAAGAACCACCAGCAAACACCAACAGAATGATTAATAAACATCTTATTTGGTTACAGTTTCTCTTATTTAAACGTGCAAAAAATCTTAAATTTCTTTTTCCTTAGTGTTGCCACTCAAAAAATATCTCATTCTTATATGCCTCGGAGAATGAATCAAGTCCCTGTTGATTCTCGTGTATAAACAGAGCCGGTGATGAGAGCTGACACGGCACATTCACACCTCGGTTCACCTCGATTCACGTGTGGCACCCAGCACAGGCTGAGCCCCGTCAGATACACCATTAGTATCTGCTGAAGGATCTGGGTTCCATACCACCTTTCTTCTGGGAATAGCTGGCGAATGCTGAGAACTCAGGAGTGAGACACAGGCCTGCTCTGCAGGACCACGGGCTCCAAGAAGCTGTCCAGTGGACGCAGTACAATAGGCAAAAGTACCACGACCAGCGAGCAGGAAAGGGGAGGTAGGCCACAGAGGGCAGCCCAGCCACGCTGTGGGGTCTGAGGCCACAGAGAGCAGCCCAGCCATGCCACGGGGTCTGAGGCCATCTCCTGCAATGAGTCCTGAGGTGGGCATGGCAGGATATGCAGATGGAGGGGAAGGTGCCTGAGGAGGGGGGTGCAGAGCAGCTGCGCTCGAAGGCAGGAGGGAGAGCTGCCAGCCACCAGCCCTGGAGCCAACGCCCCATGTAGAGGGAGATGAAGAAGGAGCCCTTCCCCAGTGCCCAAAGAGCTCAAATGTAACACAAAGCTACAGGCCTAAGGGCCTCCCAGGCAGATGCTGAGCAGCAGAGTGTGGGGATCACGCTGGACCCTCAAGCCCATCTCACCAACGAGGCTGCACGAGGCCCAGCTCAGCAAGACCCTGAACAGGGCCAGGTGCTCACTGTACTCAGGAGTGCAAACATCTCCTGCAATTGCATTTCAGGGCCAGGGTGTCCGCTGCAGAAGCACCCAGCATGGTGTTCCTGCTCAAAATGAAGTGAAATCATCTGAGATCCGTGTGGCCCCATGTATCTTCTAAACAAACTATGGAGACTTGTATGAAAAGCAGAGTGGTTTCTAAGAATCATCAACTGGGCACAGTGAATAACTGTGCCAAAAATGTCCATGTCCTGATCCCTGCAACAGTGAGGGCCATAGCACTCCACGGGCCTTATCGACGTCACATGAGGGCCTGCCCAGCCCCAAGGGCCTCCGGGTCCACAGCCACCACCCAGCCAGGCCGTCTCAACGCCAGGCACTGGGCAAGACCGGTCAGGCTAGCGTCTCTCTCCTTGCCTCTGCTGGGGACTGTGGTCGAGCCCGGGACACAGCGGCGTGCAGACCGGCATCAGCTGGGTACCTGCTGAGCAGTGTCACTCACACCCTCTCTCTCACAATGTCCTGCAGGCATGTACCAGCTGCCAGCCGCCCAGTGGGGACAGGGTGGGCTTTAGGACACGCGGGCTCCCCTTGGAGGAAACTTTGTATGTGCCTCTCATGCTTCCGTGTGCTGAGCACTGGGAACAGACCAGATCACAAACGGTGGACCACAGACGATGAAGAAAGCCCACAGCTGATAGATATAGACAAGCACTGAGAAAAGGGGCAGCCAGTGTGGGGCGCAGTAACCGTGACACAGTGTGAGAAGCCAGTATGAGCAGCGAGCATCAGATGGGTGGCCCCTGGCCCTGCACAGTACCCTCGTCGCCTCGCTGGCCTCCTGCACCCCCGGGCCCTCAGGCTGCCTAGGGCTGAGCTGGGGCCCCCTGGGGGACTCCTCCTCCTGCTCTGTCTCACTCAGCATTCTGGCAGCCATGGAGACAAGCAGCCTGCACCACCTGGGGTCTGGGTTCAGGCCGTGGCAGCCAGTGCACACTGGTTCCCGGGCCACCCGTCCTGGGTGTGAGCAGCAGCCCTCCTCCCCTTCCAGGCTCTCCTGGGATCACAGTGGGAATTAGCCTGATGCCCCAGCCTCCCACACCTGCTGCATGAGCTCCGCTCCTGGCAGGTCCTCCAGCCGCATTTAGGAACAAGGGACTCCCCGAGTGACCTGAAGTCCACTCTGCCGAGAGGACCCATGACTTACAGAATGCCATCTCCCTGTGACCCCATGAGGTCAGGGAGCTTCCCATGAGCTTGCCCCAAGAGCAGCCCACCCCTGTTCCAAACACACCATCTCCTGCAGGTAACGGTATTGCCCTGAAAACCGGGGAAACTGAGGCCACATGCCCCCACTCGCCCTTCCTATGGCCACACCATGGGGACTAAAGTTGGAACAGGGACAGCAGGATGTGGTGAGGACGGAGGGCCCCACGTCCATGCAAAGGTCCCCTTACAGATGCCCTGGGGAAAAGCCCTGGGAAGTCTTCTGGGGAGCATCAGGGATGCTGTGCCCTCGTCTTTAGGAGCCACAGAAGCCTTGCCTGGCACGTCCTATGCTCACTGACCTGAGCCTGGTGTGATGCTCCAGCAGAGACCACAGTGCCCAGCCAGATCCCGAGAGCAGATCAGGAGAGACACCCAGGGCTGCCGTGACCCCGAGGGCTGCCAGGACCCCAGGGCTGCCGTGACCCCAAGGGCTGCCGGGACCCCAGGGCTGCCGGGACCCTGAGAGCTGCAGCAACCTTTCAGCACCATCCAGGCAGGATCTGCACTGAAATGCTAGTACTCCCCCAGCACAGATAGGGCTGGAAAAGGGAAGTAAACGCCCATTCATTACCTACCTATGATGGAATCCCTCCGGAAAACATCTCTATCGAAAATATAGAAGGACAGGTGACGAAAGCTCCGAGGAATTTCACAGTAAAAGTCTTCTCCATAAAAGGGGCTAGAGAGACAGAGAAAAGTGCCAGTTAGAACAAAGGCCACGCTTGCGCCTCACCCTCATGGGCACACATGTGGCACGTGTGGTCTTAAAGTTTCAAACACGCCATGACAACGCCCTGCACTGCGTGGCATGTGTGAGACATGAACCTGCAGCTCCCTGTGGGGTGAAGGGCCTCATGGCTGCTCCCCAGCCTCCGCCTCGAGCCTCCATGCTGCACAGACAAGCTTCTGTAACTGGGCTGCCTGGCAGTGCGGGAAACTCAGAGACCTCCACAGAGACCATGGCCACGACCAGAATGATGTCCTTGGCATGTGCTCAAGTCCAGGCCCCCCTCAGGGCCACTGTATGTTTTGAAGGTACCTGGTGTGGAGCAGCTGGTGGCTCACTTCATGCACTAAACGTAGAACACGCACTCCAGTACCTTACACCGCTTCCCTTCTCCAGAGATCCAGTACAAAGTCCTGACTGCACCGCTGTCCTCGCTCCTGGGCGGAGGGAGGGCCCCACTGCTGACCATGCTTAGAGAGCGCACAGCTGTGGCTGCCCATGCATGAGTCACCCAGAGATACAGCCACCCCACAGATGGAGACTTAAACTGCAACCCCAATTAAGAGGCAGAGGCCAGTGGGCTTTGCCATTCAACAAACCTCCGTTGTCCTGGGCCAGCACGGGTGGGGTTGGGTTCCTCACCACACTGGACCTGTGGGCAATTACCATAGTGCATGCATGGCTACCATCAACTCAGAACCTAACACAAGCCCACTTTCACACACATTTATGCTAAGGTCCAAAGTAGGAAAGTTGTAAATTATTCAAGGAAAACCATTCTGATAGAAAGTGAAGGAAGGTCAATGGTGCTGGGCCAGGTGGGCGTCCACACAGCCACCAGTGGCACAGGCCCCACCCCAACCACACAGGCGTCCACACAGCCACCAAAGGCGCAGGCCCCACCCCAACCACACGGGCGTCCACACAGCCACCAGTGGCTCAGGCCCCACCCCAACCACATGGGCATCCACACAGCCACCAGTGGCACAGGCCCCACCCCAACCACACGGGAGTCCACACAGCCACCAGTGGCGCAGGCCCCACTCCAACCACGTGCAGGAATGGGCTCAGCCCCCATGACCATGTGTAGGGCTACAGCTAACAGCCTCTGAGAAGAAAACAGAGATGAACCTCCACCCTAGAGTCAGGTAAAGATGCCTTAGATCTGTCACCAAAAAAGCACAAGTGCCAAAAGAAAAATAAATGGAAAATCAGACTTCATCAAAATTAAAAACATTGAAAACTTTTTTGCATTAAAAGCATTATTTAAAAAGTCAAAAGGGCCGGTGCTGTGGCTCAAGCCTGTAATCCCAGCACTCTGGGAGGCTGAGATGGGCAGATCGCCTAAGGTCAGGAGTTCGAAACCAGCCCGGCCAACATGGCAAAACCCCGTCTCTACTAGCAATAAAAAAATTAGCGAGGCATGGTGGTGGGCACCTGTAATCCCAGCTACTCAGGTGGCTGAGACAGGAGAATCACTTGAACCTGGGAGGTGAAGGTTGCAGTGAACCAAGTTCATGCCACTGCACTCCAGCCTAGGTGACAAGAGCGAAACTCAGTCTCAATAAATAATTAAAATTTTTAAAAATTAAAAAAAAAAGTGAAAAGCAAACTAGGGAAAAATATTAGCAAGTCAGTTATCTGATAAAGGACTTGTGCCCAGAATATACAAAGAACTCTTATGACTCAATAAATGATGACAGATAATTCAGTTTAAAAATGGGCAAAAGATTTGAACGCACACATCACCAAAGAAGACAGAGGGCCAACAACGTATTAAAAATGCTCCACGTCATTAGCCCTAGAGGAAATTCAAATTAAAGCAGGAGACAGAACACAGGCATCAGCTGGAAGATAGGGCCTGCAAGTCCTGGAGTCCAGGCCCCACCCCTTCCTCTGCAGCAGCCCTGATGACAGGCATTTCATTTGGATTTTACCGATTTCATAATTTGTGTAACTGGGTCAGAGACTGGGGTAAAGTTTACTTAGAAAACCATTTTTTGTCATGAAAACACAAACTTCCAAGGGATGCCTAAAATGCCTACATTGTTTTGAACATTTTGGAAACAGAAGTATCCATTTAAACACAAAAGAAACATCACTTGATCTTTCCACAAAAGCAGAATGCCACGGACTTCCACCGTGATAGAATCCTGGTTAACGGAGACCCGGTGGAAAGCCACATTTCCTTCACACACATTCTCGTGCTGGCCACTGATGCAGGGGAGCCATCCTCTGATTTTCCTACGTCTGTGGGGTCTGCGTTAGGCACCGCCGAGATCTGATGTCAGGGACCCCCAGGGAGAAATGCACTGTGCTAAGCCCAGCTCCACAGCCCATTCCTCTCGTGGGACGCATCTTCTCACCACTCCTGACTGTTCTGTCACTGAGAACCTTGAAAACACTGGGACCACCAACGCGGAATCTTCAGAAAAACCCTCTGAAACTTCAGGGGAAAGAAACTCCAGAGGGTAAGAAAGTGGGAGTGTGTGCCTGTGCCCATGTGTGTGCAATATATGCATGGGTATGTGCATGTGTGTGCCTGTGGGTGAGCCCACAGGCATGTTTTGTATGCATGTGCCAACGTGTGTGCCCACAGGTATGTGTTTGTGGATGGGTGCACACGTGTGCCTATGGGTGGGTGCCCCCTGGGTGTGCACCCCCAGGCACATGTGTGTAGGTGTGTACCCGTGGGTATGTCTGCCCACAGGCATATGTTTATGTGTGTGTGTGTGCCCATGGGTTCGTGTGTCCCCAGGAACATGTGTGTGTGCATGTGTGTGCCCATGGGTGTGTGCCCATAGGCATGTGTATGTCCGTGGGTGTGTGTGATCCCAGACATGTTTGTGGCTGTGTGCATGTGTGCCCATGGGTGTGTGTGCCCCCAGCATGTCTGTGGGTGTGCCCACAGGCATGTTTGTGGGTGTGTGCATGTATGTGGGTGTGTGCATGTGTGGATGTGTGTCCACAGGCACATGTGCGCGGATGTGTTTGTGTGTATGCCCGTGGGTGTGTTCATGTGTGCCTGTGGGTGTGGTCACAGGCATGTTTGTGGGTGTGTGCATGTGTGTGCTGTGGGTGTGTGCCCACAGGCATGTTCACGTGTTTGTGTGTGCACATGTGCCTGTGGGTATGTGCTCACAAGCATGTGTTTGTCGGTGTATGCATGTGTGTGCCCGTGGATGTGTGCCCACAGGCATGTGTGCATGTTTGTGTGTGCACGTGTGCCCATGGTGTGTGCTGACAGGCATGTTTGTGGGTGTGTGCGTGTGTGTATACCCACAAGCATGCATGCATGTTCATGTGTATGCCCCAGGGTACTTGGGTGTACACATACATAAAGGCACAAAGGATGTGCCCCACACGGAGCACTGCTTTTGTAACAAGGAGCAGGGCTTGTGCTCCCGCCTCCACCCTGTGTAAAGTCACAGTTGTGGGATCTTGGCCCGGTGCACACTCCCCAGGCAGCACCCGGTGGCCTCCACGGAGTAGCCTGGTGCTCTGCAGACAGCATCCCCACCAGGAGGAAAAACCGCCACCAACCTCAAAGCCCAGAAACAGACACCAGATGCACATTTTAGTATTCACAAGGCCTCAGGTGACGAGCTACTTCACAGGACATGCGTTAACAATAGTAATCCACAAAACATTTGGGGTTTTTACGATGACGAAACAGTCTCTTCTCTACATTCCAGAACAACTTTAGAGCCACTGAGGCCAAGTGATCAGCACCACCAGAAACCTTACGGGACCCTCCCAGGCACCCAGAAACTCCTAGGTGCCTAGCCAGTAGCCTCTGCCCTCGGTTCCCCACTGAGCCCCTCACTGCCAAGCAGGGTCACAGTAAGAGAAGCCACTTGAGCAGAGCCTTTGGGAGAGCAACTGAACACCCCCGAGTCAGCAGCCCCCAGGGACACCATGCTCAGTCCTGCTGCCCAAGCCCTGCCAAGCTACCCTGGAGAGCAAGGTGCTGCTCTTCCAGCCTCCGCCCAGGAATTCCTCCAGCAATGGCTTTAGAAGCCTTGTTCCTGAATCACAGAAGGCAGGGGCAGAGCACTGGGCCCCTCTGTCAGGCTGCCACCTGCTAAGAGGAACTGTGGTCCTCGGGAACTATGGGTCCCCCCTCCTGAAGAAGGGGAACATCACAATCACATTTTACAGAGTTCGTATGTTTTCTTGTAGCTGCTGCTTCTGCTATTTTTCTCTCCTTTTATTGAATGGATTTCTGGCTTATTTACGAATTTTAAGTAACTCAATTTCCATGGATGGTGTCAGCACCACCGGAAACCTCTCGGGACTGTCCCAGGTGCCCAGTCTGGAAATAGAAATCACATTTCCATTTTCCACATTTGCAGCTGAGATCCCTGGAGCCAGACCCAGCTCGAGTGCAGGATGGATAAGCGTTTGGGCCTGTATCTCTGGTGGTGTTTTCTCTGGTGGTTCCAATGTCCTGTTTTAATGTTTTTCTCCTCACTTTATATAACTTTTTAAATTTACAGTAACCAAGTTATTACTTCGCTTCCTGCAAGTCAGCTGGACTCTTTCAGGAAACCAGGCAGGACATCCGGCCGGACTTATCTACGGAGCCCTGGGCCTCCACCATGACCCAGCTTCATTCCCACAAGCCAGATGGGCACAAGAGGGGAACGGCTGAGCTCTGCATGCCAGGTCCACATGGAGAGCAGGGGCAGGGCTGCCTGTGCAGTGAGATTCAGACCAGGAGGCCGCTCAGAGGAGGCAGAGTCCCGGCAGTAAGGCCTGGAGAGGCCGCAGTGCTACAGGCCTTGCACTCATTTTAACGAAGGCTCTGCAGGATTTTAAGGGAAGATGGAGCCTGTCTTTGTGCTGGAATAGAGGGTCCCTTCAGCTTTTTAGACTGATGATTTATTTAAGGAATAGAAAGGCGATTCCAGGGACAGCGGAGGCCCCCACAGGAAGGAAACCTCTCTCTG